TTTAAAAAAAAAAGATTAGATTCTTTAAATAGAGCGTTGCTATGGAAATAGGCAGAAAATATATGCTTAAAAACCTGAAAAATATTTTCTTTCCTTGGATACTTACCCTTAAGTGTAGATTCCCAAAACTTTTATAATTGATATTTATCAACAGCTAACATGACTTTTAATTTTGAATATCATCCATTCACTATGTGGATGCAAGAAGTTGGCACACGGGGTTTAATATTGATATAAATTTCACAAAATCGAACATTTTCCCTTCTCAATAACCATAGCAACAGTGTTGTTTTATTCATCAAATTTTATCAATATATGATATTCAACTTCAGTTCTAACAGATAAGTACTATTCAAGCTGAGTCCTTTAATTTGTTTCTTGATTAAATGGCAATTTAGTTCCGAATTCAGCGAAAAATAATTCACTTTTAAGCACTGGTACATTGTTTCCATGGTAACACTGCAAAGTAGCAATTATACCCAATTTCTCTTATGGTTATGGTGTTGCAAGGTCCTAAGGATGGATATTTGCCAGTCTTGAATTTTCATGTTTTTCCTCAAGACAGTAGCATTAACCCAATTTCAGTTACTGGTTTTGCATTGTTACACTGTGTTACCATGGCAACCATGAAAGTCATTTATAGAATGATATTGTTTATACTTATATACTTAAGGTCAAACATTTTCATTGTTTTTCTTAAGTTGATGATTGAGTTTGTGCATGTAACACCTCCCATTAGTGAATACGGAGTGTTTTTCAGCATATTTCAGCATTTTAAATGTATTCCAAATGTACCCTTGCTTACCACTTACTTAGAGATATATTCTAAACAGTTTCTTTACAGTAAAAGTGACATCAAGGTGTCATGTTTTTGTGAGAATGGTTGGTTTGCTTTTTCTAGCTTTCATTAAGCCACAGTCAAGATTTAAAGTGGCTGAAAATCTCGATTTTTCAAATTTTTCCGGCTGTTGCAAAAACAACCAAGATGCACAGTAACGATATTTTGTTTGATATTTGTTTCTGGTATTAAATACTAAGCATGGGTAAAGTTTCATCAAAATCGGTGACCATGCGTGGCAACGAAGTTTAAATGGTTACAGAGAATGGCTTTTAATATTTAACGTTAATGGCTTTACTTTTAACTCTGACACATTAATTTCTAGAATGATAGTTCTCATTTTCTTCTTAAAGTGATTTTGTTTAACATTATCAAAATGTGTCAAGTAATTCAATATTTAAAAAAAAATTAAATGAGGTAAATATATAAATATTATCAACTGACGTAAACATTGAAGAGAGGGAGAAAGTAATGGCTGCCCACTTGTCTATGGATTTTTATAAACGTCATATAACCATTTAATCTGAAAAACTGTTAGTTGTCAGGTACAAGTATTTATACTTCCTGGTCAGAATGAGGAATCTAAATTTCCACTCTTCAAATATTTGAATGGAAGTTACTGCACACCTTTTGATGATTTCTTATAAGGGAAAAAGCTTGAGTTCAAATTCAGGTTTAATGACCAATCGCAAAGCCCCAACCTCAATCTTTCAAACCGGAAAAAATATTTTTCTAGATATATAAAAACGTCTTTATTTTTTAATATTCATTTAAGGAATGAATTAAATAGTAACTCATGTTACACTGACTAACTTTGGTCGGTAAATGTTACTCTTTATAAACCGTTTGTTCATATTTTAGAAGCAAAGACAAGTGGAATAATAAGTTTTTGACGTAAGTCATTGTGACGTAGGCAAAGCAGGTTAAACAATATAGATTAATTTATTTCTTTTATATCAATTTTGATCCAATCAAATGACGCTTCACAACCCAAATTAAACTATTGCGAATTAAGGAAAATCGTTGTTCATAAACTATAGTGCGATGAGCAGCAATATCTTTACTGTTTTGCAATTGCGTCAAAACAACAATCTTTATTTTCTTTTTTTAATTACTATGAAACTGCTCTAAAACTTTTTAATTAAGAACCTTGATGCATATTTAAATACAGAATTTTTATACTAATTGATAGCCAATGCATTATCTATAAACTGAATTGACGACGGATTTCCCCCTTGTTTCCCAATTGCGCGCGGCGGGTGTGGTCGGTTGACAGGATATGCTCGCTATTCCATGGCAACTGATCTCGCTTCTGAGTTTAAGAGGTACACGTTTGCTCCTATTTTGTATCTTTTATGGACTTTGATATTGAATACTGTTTGGTATCTTCATGTCTTTCATTCACATATATATGATCTATTTTCAACTTACTTAAATGTTCACTTATGACGTCATCTTCTTACATTTTAATCCAAATAACAGATTAAGTAAAACTCGAGTTATAGCGAAGTCCTTGGGACCTGTGAATTTAATTCGCTATATCCGTAATTCGTTATATCCGTACAACCAATTCGTATAAACATGTATAGCGAGTTCGCAATATGAATGTTTTCCTTCAAGTATTACTACCAAATATGTTAGGAAAGCAAAGTCACTTCAATTTAGTTAAGGTCTTTGAAAGTTCGTTATGAAAGATGTAAATTCCATCATATTTAATCTCACCGGGACTCAAAATGAGTTCGCTTTATCCGTAAATTCGTTATATCAGAGTTCGTTATAACCGTAAAATTTTACAAAGATTTGTTAAGAATTTTACCGGGGACCCAGAAAAACTTCGCTTTATCAGTGAATTCGCTATAACCGTGTTCGTACTAAACGAGTTTTACTGTATAGCTTAATAAAATAAAATAAAGTTTTGTTAATGTTTACATTTTAATTTAGATTTATTTTCTAGGGTTAATTTACAGCTCTCAATACCATTATTACAAAAATTTGTTATAAAAGTGAGGTCATCTCGCTTACAATGACGTCATAATACCGTATAAGTGGAAAGGATGAAGTGACAAAACTGTTATCTGGGGCCCTTTTTTCCACGACGAATTATATTCAATCTACAACAATGTTGGTAGTTTTCAAAAATAAGTGAATAAATACGACTTTTAAATAGATTCAATAGTTCAGACATATTTTAATTATAAAGAGTACTGCATTATCTTCGATTTTTTTAGACCTTATCACAGCTAAATTCGGTCAGGTTTGTAAGAATATGTTCCTTTATGGCAAGAGAATGGGCGGGTCTTAGTACAATAGAGGGATATGCGTGTCCGAGAAGACCTTATATGGCTATTGTTATCATTTCACACATATTCATTGTCCAATCTGATGACAGAACAACAAACAATGCTGGTTTACTATGTTTACATTTTATCTCAGATACGTGGTTTAGGTCAATTTACCTGTTATCCTATTCTACATATCAAACTTTTATAAAGATCAACCAATACTTAATAATAAGCATGGATTTTCAGCAATTAAGTTTTTTTGGACAAGATATGCACAGGAAACTTGTATTCAGTGATAATTGGGAATACACGTAGGCCTAGCGAAATGCTCACCAAACACGCTACAAGCCCTTTAAACTAATGTACATTTATCAATTGTTTGTAAATGTATAAATTTTACTGCCATCTCGGCTCGAAATTGTACATATGTAGATCCGTGTCTAATTTAAGACTCAAATGCATAAAAAAAAATTCTGAAAGAAGTAATATTTCAAGCATGTTTCCATAGTATTTTTGTGGTACTCACTCGTAACGAATTTCATTCAGATGTTTGGTCAATTAGAAAGTATCGCCAGTGCCTCGATAAGCATATGAATTCATTCTTATGCCAGAAAATCTAGTTCCGTCGATCTGTTCATAATGGGAAATGCCAGCTAGATTTTACATTTTTTTTAAAAATAGCATGTGAGCGCAGTTAGGTACAATTTTCTCCTCTTGCATATAGGTAGATTTCAATAAAATACAGTGACCAGGCAAAGGAGAAAATCGTAGCTACCAGCGCTCGTATATCTTAAGGGCTTCAAAGAGTGGGCGGGATTAAAATGCAACGGAAATTGGATGTAAACATGATACCCCTACCCCAGTAAAGGATCAAACCACGTTTCTATTTTTGATAATAATAGTATTCTATGAAGGTGCACATATCAGTGATTAGCTATAGTTACATATAAAAATTTGAGTAAAATTTAGACATTTTATTTTTTGTTAATTTTGTGGGGACCGCAAGTCAGGTCATTCTTTAGCGAGGCGGAAATTAAGCAATTTGTCCTTAAACACTGATATTCTTATTTTTCGTGAAATGTTATTGTAGAGATTTTAAAATGCTCACTAAAGAATCTAATAATAATTAATATCAATTAATTTTATCGATATTCAGTTTTAAGCTATCTCAACACTACTCGCTAAAAATTCTGCTAAAAATTTGCTTATTTGGTATATCACTGATTAAGTCAATTTAGAATATTTCCTGAACACCCCTGCGAAGGGATGTTTAATTCATTAAAAAGAACGTTATGCATGAAACACTTTTACCTAATACCTCGCAAACAAATCACTAGTGTTCGTACATCAACCCCTGTATTATTTTTAGTGTTCGTACATCAACCCCTGTATTATTTTTATTATTTATAATTTTTATTATTATTTATACACTGAATTGACGATTTTTCTGTTATTCCCCGATCATGACAAGGAGCACACGGCGGATGTGACCGGTCGGCAGGAGATGCTTACTCCTCCATGGCACCTGATCCCAACTCTGATGTTTTGGAGGTTTGTGTTTGCTCTGCTCCTATAATGAATATTGTATTTTTTCTGGACTTTGATCTTGAATTCTCATGTTTCTTTCCAAAAAAAGATCATACGGTCAATTTTTAAATTTATTTTCCTACTATGAATTTTAATCTCATACAAGGTGAATGAAGAAAACACATTAGAGATACATGTAGCAATATGTGATTTTTGTGGAGTGTACATCAAAATGGTTTCACGGACAAACGGTAATTCTCTTTTTTGAGTTATGCAATTCAGAGGTACAATGGAAAATGGCACGGTGTGAACGGATAATACGATGAAATTTGTCGAGAAAATTTTCATTAAATCTATGCAGTGGTGGCGTATTCAATGGCATTTAAATATCTTATTTTCTTCACTTGTCTTTTTTCCATTTGAGCACCAAAGAGATTGTCATTTGAATCTGTACACAGTCCCCAGGGTTTAGTCAGTCCACAGGGTATGTAACTGATGAACTCTCCATCCTGATCAATGATGTGGACACAATCATTGTTGACATCAGATATAAGGATATGGTTATGAATGTTTGTGGTGATTCCTCGTGGACTGAATGGTTTATATTTTGGAGCAGGAGTAAGTCCGGTGTAACTAAATCTCAGTTTCCCGGCAAGATTGACCACCACTACAGCTCCAGCTCCATAGTCAGACACACAGATATCCAGGTTCCTGTTCTCACAAATATATTTAATATAACTGGATGAATACAACGGTTTTCCTTTATTATCAAATTGAATAGTTTGTATCTTTGTGGAGCCAGAGTAACGGACAACTTTTGATTGGTAATCATCATCACTAAGCATGGTAACCAGGAGGTCACCAGAGGAGGAACTACAGACACCAAAAGGTCTCCAGTTCTGTAGTCTTATCACCTCCTCTGTCTCCTTATTCTTCACTATATTCACAGTCCTATCATCGAAATCAGAATAAACAAGATCTCCGGCTTTTGTCACTCCGATGACTGAAGTGTTGTTCCCAGACTTAGTTGATATTGACTTGAGCAGTGATCCCTGGTTGATGCTGTAAAGTTTCATGGTGCTGTCATTTCCACTTGTCCAGATTTCTTCATCACTCAGGCAGGCAACATTGTAAAGTTTGTTATACCCAGTGTCTACAAAATTGATGACTGTCTCTGATGATTTCTGTATTTTCTTCTTGTTGTAGCTATGTTCATCCGAACTAACAGAATTACATGATAAGGCTCCAAACAGTTTATTGAATTCTTTACCTATGATTTCTCTGGGGATGAATTTGGGTAAAGATAGAGCCATTTCTTGTTCTTGTGGAAGATTTCTGTATATATTTATGTTGGATGTGCCACTTAACAATTTGGACAAGTCATTTGTCTGTAAAACAATTTCAGTTGAATCGATTTCATCCTTTATGTAAGAAATTTTCTTGTTTATGTCATCCAGATGTTTTTTTAGAGTTTGTATCTGCGTGTTTTTCATCTTATCAACTTTTGCTTTTAGTTTCTTGACAAGTTTGTCAATTTCTCTGTGCCAGTCCTCTCCATGTTTTGTAATTGCTGTTGAGAGATATTCATAATCCTTTTCTAATTGACTCATTTTGTATTTTACATCATAGGCAATGTACTGGTACTTTGGATAAATCGCAAAATCTAATTCAAATTTGTTTCTGATTAAAGTATCCCTTTTTTCTTCCACAACTTGCAAGACTTCTGATAATTTATGATCAAGATGTTGCGCAGATGCAGTGCACTTTGTACAAACAGGAATGTCACATTGATCACAATATTTTGCACACAGTTGTTCATCATGCTTTTTACATACGGGGTACAAGTGAGACTTTCTGTCCTGAAATTTGACTACCTTGTGACCGTTGTTTTCTCTTCTGGAAATGTGTTTTCCCACACAGGCCTTACATAGGTTGACAATGCATTTATCACAGTGCACCTGTACTAAAGCGGTCTCACACAAGTCACATCGCATCACGTCTTGGGCACTGGTACGGGGGTCCATTATTAAACTTGTGACTGAAATGAAAATAGATATGTAGAGTCTGTATACTGAGTCTTCCAAAAGGGCAAAGATAAAAAATCTTTTTGAGAATGTCTACTATGTTTTTCTTTTAAATAAAAAGTCAACAACAAAGTTCAGAGATGATTTACATATTCCCTAAAATTATTTGTTTATTAATCTGATCTTTTAGAAACTTGGCACAATATCAGAATAATTTTGCGTCTTGTATAAATGTTTGCGTTATAATGGAATCAGATGGAGTTTAGAGAGGTTTTATGTCATACTCGAACTTGTACGAAGTCTGTGACATTGTGAACCGAGAAAAGAAAAGAATTCGCAGGTTGTTTTAGGTTCAAAAGGACGAGGATATTACCATACTGTGTGTAGTTTTAAGGTTTTTGCACTAGGCTAGGTCTTTGGGGGATCAGTGGGCAAGGGAAAAGTCAACAGACTGGTACGACGAAAGAATTACGTGATAAAGGTTTGTCGATTCTCATTAGAACAGGGACTTTCGAATGGGGAGACATTAGAAATGCTTTGCAATTATTATGAGCTGAACAGTTACTTAACTTCCAAAGGAAAAAGGGCATGCCGGTGTAACGACGAAAAGTGACCCCCGTAGAATATTGACCGGGGGGTACGTAGAAAAATGACCCCCCGGTCAATATTCTACGACAAGTAGGGTCATTTTTCGACTGTAGAAAAACATTCCAAACCATTAATTCTACGACTTCACACACGTTGAAAAATGACCCTCATAGAAATTTGACCCCCCTATATTTTATACAATAAAACTTTGTATATGTGTCTCCTGATTTTTCATACTTTCAAATCCAAGTAGGGGGGATTTTTTATGCAATCTTATCCTTTCCAACTTATATTCAATTGCATATCTTAAACGTAGCATCACAACCAATGCATGTATCTGGTATGGGTATATTTTTTGCTTGCAGAATCCCAATGAATATTTATTCATCGAGAACATAATTTATGATTATATATTTTGGTTTTTTTTTCATTCGAAGTTTTTTTTGCGAAAATGGCATGATACGTTTCTAATTACTATAATCTTTGAAAATTCTTGCAAGAAAAAAAAATAGCACAGAAGCAAGAAAAAGGGATATGGGGATACCGAAAGTATTCAATATCAAAGTCCATAAAACAATACAAAATAGGAGCAGAGCAAACACGGACCTCCGAACATCGATAGCAACATTGTTTAACTATATAAATACAATTCCATTGTATGCATTTATTCTGCTTTAAAATACATACTTTTTAACTACCTTATATATTACTATACTTTTTACTTTATATACAGGAAATACAATACACATCAAGAAGTTCTTATGATGATATTACAAATTTCTCCAAAACTGGCAAAAATTTACACCTGAGTGAAAAATATTTCAACCTTCAGAGATATCTATAAATTAAAATAAAAACTTAAAAATCTCTTTTCAACACTTTTTAGCCGACAGATACGTGACCAATGGTTGCTGTTACATCCACTTTCTTCTGGGATTTTATAGACACTGATAACCTTTGCAAATTAATGAACTCTTAGTTGTCATGCCCTTACTTCAAAATAAATTTCTAGCACTTTCCAAAAGTTAATGTTAAAGTAAAAGTGTGGAATTGTTGATTTTTTCCACAATGGATTAAATGTATCAGATCCATGTTAACGCCGCGTATTCAAGGATTGAGGGGTAATATGAAAACCCTCATTCATTCTGTGTTCAATAATCCAGAAGTGAAAAAAAAATAGATAGATTATATGATCAGTACGTACTGGTCCTTGTCGACAAAGCAGGTTGTCTTCGTTTGTAAGTCTCATTAATTGTATTTTAGAAGAACTTTCAAGATTTAATTCTACAAGTGGTAATCCTACTTATACTCATACTTCCCTTTCTAAGGAAGAAATTCTTCAAAATTTTTGGTCAGTTTTAAATATTTTTAATATTACACAGAGCAAAAATAAATTTGAATTACCCGATATATATTGGATTCCAAACAAAGACACATTGCGGGTTCCAGTAAATGTTCATTCAAATCTCTTTTGTACTCCGCACTAAAGTATTGACAGTAGAGAAGGAAAAACTCTTAGTGTACTGCGCAACAATATATTCAAAAAGTGGTGTGAACCAGGATTTTTTTTATTTCAATGACAGCTGCTTTTTTAATAAATTTTTGTAAATTTACAATGGTCATTGGTCATTTGCAAAATTATTTTGTTCAAACACATTGCACACACAAGTACTCTGAAGTTGACGTGAAAGAGATGCTTGAGTTACTGATCGACAATATCTGTTTTTTTTTTTTGGAAGACCAGATATTCCGACAATAAATTGGAATTCCCATGGGTACCAATTGCGCTCAGTTATAAGTAAATCTATTTTTATATTCACTTGAAACAGAATTTGTGCGAAGTGAAAAGAAGAAATTACTTGCTGTGGCCTTCAACTCAACATTTCGATATATACGAGGGTTGTTCGAAAAATTCGTGGACGAAATTTTCTCCAAAGATATGTTGCAATTCGAAAAATTTTGTGTATTACATTAAATGATGATATATTTTGAGATAATATGCAAAATTTCAGTAAGTTTTACTTACTTTAATTAAAGTTAAATCAATTTTTCTGATACATTGTCAATGCCCGCGGAGCAACTGTGGCGTATTTTTTGACGTCGTTACGTCACTATGTTTTATGAATAATCTTGCATCTTCTTAGAAACTCTTTCGATGCGATGATCCGCCGATTTTTTTTTCATCAAAGTAATTTCGGCACCAAACGAGTTCAAACCTTTTCAAATCCAAGAGATTTTGTGATTATTTCATGTGCCAAAGACGTATTTCAATTTTACCTCTTTATCCCTAACTGCTAATCTTCTATCTAAAGTTGTCAAGATATAACATTGACGCCGTCAATTCAGAATCAATAGTTGTAGGTCTTTCTGACTTTTCGTCATCCCAAGTATCACATCGTCAAGCTTAGTCTTTAAATCGTTTATACCACTTGCACACCATTGATCATGATATTTTTTTTATCTATCCTCACTTCTTCTAGCTATTGTTTTGTCTCAAAAGTAGTTTTATATGTTACCACATAAAATTTTATCACAGTGCACTGTTCTGTGACGTCCACTTCTGACGCCGTTTTTAACCGTGAATTGAGACCATTCCCCTTCATTATAAATCGATAATTTGACAACCACTTGCTCAAAATAACTGAAACTTCTCAAATATGACGATTGCCTATTATTTTGATCTTATATTAAATATAATCATAGATTTTCGAGCGCAAAATTAAAAAAAAAATCTGTAATGACAAAATCGACTTAAAATATTCAAATACGCAGAAAACGAGGATGCTCCGCGACCCCCTGCTTAAGAAATTAGAACGGCTATGATATTTTGATTTAATGGACAAAAAAACTGAAAAGTGTTTTTTTTTCTAGAAACATGGTAGAATAAAAGTATACAAAGTTTCACTTCAAACATACAAATACAGCGGTCAGTACCGAACCCGTCCACGTACTTTTCGAACAACCCTCGTATATATCGACGACGTATTGTCAATTAAAAATGGTAATTTTCATTCCTACGTCGATACGATATATCCTTGTGAGCTAGCTTGAGATGAAAGATACCACAGAGTCTGACACATCTGTCTCACCCATGGATATTTTACTTGAAAAAAAGACGTTAATGGTAATCTAACAACTAGGCTTAAGGATAAATGTGATGACAAACTTTTCTATCGTCAAATTTCCTTGGTTATGCAGCAATTTACCTTCATCACCTGCAAACGGAGTGTATATATCTCGGTTGATTCTATACGCAAGAGCATGCTCTACATATGAACAATTTCTAAAACGAAGTATATTATTGACAAGCAAGTAAATGAAATAAATAACAAGAATATCGGCAGTCTCATTTGAAGTCAACGTTAACATTTCGTTAATTCTATGGTTGACACAATGACATTGTCAGCAAATGCAATTTATCAAATTGGAACAAATGCTGACTAATGTTTTTCGTGCTTTTTGTTGGTCCGTTATTTGTGCGTAGAGTTTGCGGAGGATTTTCCTGTTATTTCCCAGTCGTGACAAGGAGAACATGGCAGATGTGACCGGTCAGCAGGGGATGCTCATTCCTATATGGCAACTAATTCCATCTCTGATGTTTCGGAGGTTCGTTTGCTCTGCTCCTTTATATTTTGTATTGTTTTATGGACTTTGATATTGAGTACTGTTAGTTAATATCTCCATAATTATTATCCTTGTGTAAAAGTGTGTCAAACTCCAAGGTCAATATTAAAAGGTCAAAATTGATTGTACACAAAAAGGTCTTGTCACAAAAATACACTTGTGAAATATGAAAGCCGTAGTCTTACCCAGTCATGGGCATGGGCAAGGTTCAAGTTTTGCAGAAAAATATACAAACAGACAAGCGGACAGGTAAAATGCTATATACCCCCAGAAACTTCGTCTTCAGGGGCAAAACCCCGGAAATTTCGTTTACAGGGGCATAAGTATATCATGTAAAGTAACAACTTTTTCATCATCTAAATTTTTTTTTCTATTGGTTAAAAACTCCTAAAATCACCATATGTATTTTTATGTACATGATAGAACGGGGAAAACGATACTACATGTGCCTTTTTTTGGAAAGATGGGGACTTATTATTATTTTTTTTTAGTTAATCATGTTTTATGCTACAATCCCTATTTTGTTAACACTAGCAAACGACAAAAGACATTTTACAGGTTTTGAGCTAACCACTTTTTGTTTTCCTTGTATCATACATAAAGTTCAGAGGCAATTTAATTTAGTACTTATTTTTACAAATTAAATTATCCCTATTTTTTTAAAAAGAAGTTTGAAACTTCATTCATAGAAAATCAAATATTTTTATACGATTTTTCTATGTTGGAACACTTTTTGTGCCCGTTTTAAAAATATGGATAAAAAACTTTAAACTTCTGAAAAATTATAT